ACTGTTTCACTCTCGAATAGTGATTAATTTCTGAAGAAATTAAAAATCAGTGCATGTATTGCCACAAAAAGAGAAAATCCGGGACTTCGACAGATGTTTATGCCATACTCCTGGGTATATATATATTATGACAGTGGGCGCTCGCCGATCAGGTTACGGAACATGCTCGTTCCGTTGTGCCTTTGGGGCCCATACTAGAACCCTCGCAGGCAGTCGCACAGCGACTTGTAGTAGACATAAATGAGATGGAGCCGACAAGGACAAGGGAGACCGGAATGGCCATTGCCGGCTTATTAGCCGTCATCAGCCAGTCATACCCGACCCCAAGTGTGGATCACTTGAGATTCGAACCCCGGATCTTTGGTCATGGAGTTTGACGCTCTACTATTAAGCCGGCTTCATCTCATATATATATATATATTGCTAATAGAAGCGAAGATGCGCGTCCCCGGACATAATTGAGAAGAAAAGGCGATCTCGGGAACCATAGTTTTACTGTCCTGACGTTTCAAAAGCATACAAGCTTCCATCGTCGGACGACGGAAGCTTGTATGCTTTTGAAACGTCAGGACAGTAAAACTATGGTTCCCGAGATCGCCTTTTCTTCTCAATATATATATATGTATAGAGTAGGTGGGCTAACTTATGAAATGTCAACCGAAATTTCGAAATGCGTCCTTGTTTCAAAAAGATTAACTAAGTAGGGTTGTAAAACTAGCCAGCCTTCAATATAATTCTATAACATTTCCGTTTCCTCAGGATGCCAACTTTCGAATGGACTTATTTCCGACTGCATGCAAAAACGACACTTTGTAAAAATGACTATATAAGGAGCATGCGTTTTTCTCATTGATTTTCGATGCCCTTAAATATTTAATTATATTCCATAATAACTTTAAAAAATATTGATTATTTTTCTCATTCGATGGAAAATTACGTATTATTTTAATTTTATACTCGAAGAGCGGGGATACTTCGGTTTCAAGAGACTTCTCTAATTCTGCTATAATTCTGAACCCGACCCGCTGTTATACATGCATTCGGGATTTATAAACTACAAGCCGTATATTTTATGTGTATGAAGAAACTATAATTTCTCTACAGTATTAAGACGAGACCATAAGTGGTTCATAAAATTAAGCAGTGCATTTCAGCAAATTGTTAACATTGGTAAATGCAGAAAGACGATGTTTTAGGAATGGCCATTTTACGACATTAAAAAATCTTACAATCAGAAACTTTTCCGAAACTGAATAATCCTTTTCTTTCGAGTATAAAGTCGAAAGATGACGTACATTCCTACCGAATAAATTAAATGAATATTTTATGCGCTTTTTTCATGAAATATGATTGAACTTTTAAAAGAATCGAAAATCAACGAGAAAATCATACGCTATATACGTGGTCATTTTTTGTAGAGTATAGATCTAGCCTGCAGTCGGAAATAAGTTCCTTCTGAAGGAGGCACCCTGAGGTAACTGGATCGTTATAGAATTTTGCTGAGCAATGAGCATTTTTACAACTATAATCAATTAATCTTTTCGAACCGTGAACGCATTTGGAAATTTCGGCTGACATTACATGAGTTAGACCACCTACTATATATATTACTTTGGAATTGCGTTCACCGATGGGGCTACGGGGTATATTCGTCCCTATGCACCTTGGGGCTCAATGCAGTGGACTTGAGGCAGTCACTTAGCGATAGGACATATATACTGAAAGGAAATTCTACAAAGACGAGGGAGACTGGGGTGGCCGCTTTAAGCCTATTAGCCCTCCTCAGAGAACCTTACGCGAACCTATGCGTATGATGGTGTTTTTAAACTACTCCAACCAGCAATCCTCTAAAAATGTCCAAAGACATTTTTCAGCTGCTAAGTGAGGCAACATCGGTGTACTTCATATGATGTATAAAACCCACCTTGCTACAATTCAATGCAAACCACGTCAGCAAATGCGTTAAGCTGACAGATGCATGTCATCACCGCTTGAAGCAAAGCGCGTGCTGTTTTGGCTTAATGACATACCAGACTACCAGCACACTGATTGCGTCACTGGTCCTGTGATACTGCTTGAACTAGTCGAAGGAGTGGGAGTCTCCGACATATTCTAACTGCTCTCACGTGTTTGCGTTCGGTGCATCTTTTACTGCTTTCACGACCATCTTAACTTTCAGTGCCTAGAAGTGACTTATTCAGGAAAGAGCCAAATTGCACACAAGTGTTGAACGTCAACGGAAGACGTTCCGGGTGTGTGATGCGACGTTCTTCACTTGCCTGACAGGATCTGCAGACGAATTTCAAACGCATTCCTGGAAGAAATGTCTCTCGTGATGGTGGTGTTATGTGATGAAAATTGTAAAATTCGAGGTAGAGAGCTAGTGAAAGCAGGTTGATCATGAGTGGGACGTAGTTAGGGTACTTGTAGCCAATGTTATGCCCACGACAGTCCCTATCTGTTCTTTCATATGCAGGTTTTTCAATGGCGACCCGAGACAACCGGCGTTATGCATGGGACGCAGCGTCTAACAGGGTTAAACGACCCTATCCGTACATTCACATATGCTGCATTTAATCATTGATGATTGACTAGACGTTTACATTATTAAAAGTCCACTAAAGTTCACATTAAGAAATAGGCACCGCATCCTGCTGTACTTTCTGAGTAGTACGAACCTGTTCCGTCATTTTGAAGATTGAGCGCTATTTAGCTCATGGATCCAATGTGATGTCGGTTGCGATTTAACATATTAGATATTCAGAAGAAAAGATGGCGAGCGAACGTTGCTTTCGATAACTTCTCGTCAGGCCAGTACAATTATATGAGACAGGATAAAGTGAGTGAAAATGTCCACCTAAATGCTGTAAACCGAGCACATCCGTCGATAAAATTCACGTTGGAGGTGGAATCGGTTGGTTCGCTTCCTTTCTTAGATGTCCTTCTAAACAGAAGATATGACGGTAGCATACGAAGAAACGCCTATCGGATGAAAATCTGATCTGGACAATACATGAACATCGTTAGTTTCGTATTTCTCCAACAAAAAGGAAATCTAGTCAGGCGTTTGATACAAAAGGCTAAAAAATTTGTTCAACAGATAGTACCGAGGAGGGACTTAGAAAAATACAGCACTTGCTGCGCGAAAACGAGAATCCTGACAGGTTCATTGCAAAGAACCTTGCCGAACAACCCGCAAAACCCACCACACTGACCGACAAAAAGAAAGTTGCTAATCAAAGTCCCTTTCGAAGGAGAGGCAACAAGTGAACTACTAAGAAGACGCCTTGACCAAGCTGTCTCGGCAACCTTCCTGACAGCAAGAGTTCGCATATCATTCTCTACTAACCCTATTTTATGCGGAGAAGGCAAGGATAGGCTGTGATCTCAGACCACATCAATGTGCATCCACTCATTCACTTGCTCCTGTGGAGCAGGTTATATTGGTCGTACGAGTCGGCGCCTTTCCATAAAATACGAAAACAGCTTCCCGCATTGCTGGCGAAAAAGCTGAAACTAGGAGAAAAGACATCGTCATCCTTGCGCATGCAGTGGATTGAGTGCATCGTGTGGACCCCGCTGGAACATTTCGTATGATTTATAAGGTCCCCTCCAGCTACCCTGAGCTATTAGACCAGCGCCTGTTAGCAACAGCAGAAGCGACCGCCATCAGGTTACGAAAAGCAATCCTACGCGCCCAGAAGAACCTCGTTCAGGATCCGCGCTTACCGGGGTCAAATTTTGACTAACCACATACAATTTTCTGTGCCCTTCCGCCTTTGTCAAGCCTGTATTTAAAAACTAAATTTTGTCGATTTTTTTACTTACTGTACCCCGTTCCATATAACTGTACTGGCGTGACGAGAAGTTATCAAAAGCAACGTTCGCTTACCACCTGTTCTTCTGAATATAGCTATGACGATTTTTATAACTCTGAAATATTAAATATTGTGAAAATACATTCATCGGACTAGTGATAAACACATCCTCTAACCTAATCAGTGAACGCCATCCCACCACAATTAACATTCCCTATATAATCAAGGAGAAGAAGACTCGTGTTTCGACATTTGATTACTGGTATTGTCGCTGTCTTGTCGGACTCTTGGTTTGAATCCCAGGATCTACAGGCCTGAGTTTGATCAAGGATTTCTGACGGTGGCCTGGAGGCCAGAAATTATCATTCTAACATCCGTCGATTTTGAGGTTGTCCTCATTTAGCATATATATATGTAGAGTAGAGGTGGTAGGTATTCCGAGACGATATAAAAAAATGGAAGATGTTCTTCGGAAAAAATAGAGTTGTATTTTCGAATTGGTGACACCAACCCGTCGGCAGACGAAATGAAGAGAAAAAAGAGAGTGAGACAGTCACACTAGACTAATAGACGAGACCGGACAAACATTGACGGACGAACCATTAGCGTGTGAGGAGTGATGCCGGTAGGGAGTCATGCCGAGTTCTGTGCCGGGAGGGTAGGAAGGGGGGTGGGAAAAGTTAAGGCTCCCCGTGTTGAAGGGGAGGGAGAATTGTAGGTTGGCAGAACTGCGGGCGCCTGGATTAGCGGCTGCTGATGCGGCGTGGGGCTCAGCTTAGTGAGGCGTGAACTTAGACCCGCAAAATGGGCGTCTAGGTGGACGTGGCGGTTGATACTGTCCGCGTTAGAGGGCCATGCCTCAAGGAATTCTCTCGCCCGTTTTGTGTTGGCCGTGGCGATGACCTCGGTGTTATCCCAATTAAAACGGTGGTCGCAATGGAGTGCGTGTGCAAAGACGAGGGATAGTGGATCATGGCGACGGACAGTTTGTGTTCATGAAGAAGAAGACACGATCGCCGGGACAAGAGCTTTATTAGCCTGACGTTTCGGATTCCTGCTCGAATCCATCATCAGAGACATAAGCAGATAAGGGTGGTTCATGCACATGTGGCTGCAGTATTTATAGGATGCCGTAGCCATGCCACCGCATACCTATGAATGTTCACGGCTCCCTCCCCTTCATCAGGGATCGTTGCACGTAGCATGATGACCGATATTCGCGTCGTTAATTGCTGCAATTTCATCACGTGCGTTGGATGTTGGTGTGATGATTGCTCGACCATCTGACGCGCTGACCCGGGTGTTGGGAAGAGTGTTCATCAGGGCGCTCCTCGCGTGGCCAATTTCTCCGCCTAGACGAAGTCTCAGCACGCTGTATTGAATGGGAAGATTATTGCACTTGTTAATAGACCGGGGGCCAGTGAACCATGACTCAAGCAGCTCCCGGCTCACGCGGTTGTCACCTCTTGCGAGAATTTCGGCCTCGTCAAATTTGAATGTGTGGCCGGAACCCGTCGAATGAGCCGCAACTTGAGAGCTGGCGTCATTTCTCCGCACTGCTGCAGCGTGTTCGGCCATTCGCGTTCGGAGCTGTCTTCCGGTTTCTCCGACGTAGTTGCTTTGTCCGCAACTGCACCAGATCCGATAAACGACTCCAGACGTTTCTTGGCGTAGCAGTGGGTCTTTTGGTTTCATCAGTTGACGCCTGATGGTTGCCTCTGGCCTGTGTGCAACTCCAACCCCCAGCGGTGCGAGAAGGCGGCCAACAGCTTCCGAAACGTTCTTGACATATGGAAGCGCTCGCCAAACTTTGGTGTCCCTGCGGTTAGGCCTTTCGTCCATTTTGCGTATGCACCGGTTGACAAAGTTGCTCGGGTAGCCATTGGCTTTGAATACCCGTCCGAGGTATTGTATTTCGGCAATCTTGTCTTCCGGCTCACTGCAGTGCATTTCGACAGGCCGATAGAGCGTCCTTACACAACTGCCTTTGTGACTGATTGGGTGGTTGCTGTTGAAGTTCAGTACTTGCTTCGTATTTGTCACTTTCCTGAACACTCTGGTCTTTAGTCCACCACAATCCTTGCGGCATACGAGGACATTCAGGAAGGCCAGCTGGTTGTTCTCTTCCTCCTCCATCGTAAAATGTATGTCCGGGAAGACCGCATTCAGACGTTCCTTGAATGTCATCAGTTGATCCCGATCGATAACGACGAAGGTATCATCCACATACCGGGCCCAGAACGTCGGTTTGTGGTGTTGGAAGACCAGCGACTCTAACCGTTGCAGGACCGCCCCGGCGATGAATCCCGAAATCGGCGAACCCATTGGTGTGCCCTTCACCTGTTCGTAGATTGTCCCGTCGAACGTGAAGTACGTCCTGAGACAGAACTTCAGGAGCTGAAGGACTTGGGCGCGTCCAAGACGATTCTCCGTTTCATCGTATTTGCTTTGCAGAAGCAGCTCGATTGTCTCGATCGCCAGGTCCTGGGGAATAGAAGTAAAAATGGATGTAACATCAAAAGATACCATGACCTCATTTGGATGGAGGCTTACCCCTTTAGGTTTCTCCAGGAATTCTGCTGACGAAGAGACCGTGGTGTCTGACTCAGCGGTCAGGAACTTGAGACGCCGGAACAGCCACTTAGTCAGTCCGTACGTTGGAGTACCTTTGAGCGACACGATGGGTCGGAGAGGAGCGCCGTCTTTGTGCACCTTAGGGAGGCCATAGAATCGGGCCAAAGCCGTATCTTGGGGTCTCGCCATGCGTCTGTCGGTCGGTGTTATTGCACCTGAGTTCTCCAAGGCCAACAACGTAGCATTGATTTCGCGTGTCAGCGCTTTTACAGGGTTCGTTGCACATGGGACATAGAACTGTCGGTCCTCCAGCAAACCTTTGGCTTTTTGAAGATAGTCTGTCCTGTCCAGCACAACCGTGGAGCGCCCCTTGTCCGCTGGCACGATGACCAAGTCTTTGTCGGCCTTGAGTTCTCTAAGCGCCTTCTCGCACCGCTGGGGGTTGGAGTTGCACACAGGCCAGAGGCAACCATCAGGCGTCAACTGATGAAACCAAAAGACCCACTGCTACGCCAAGAAACGTCTGGAGTCGTTTATCGGATCTGGTGCAGTTGCGGACAAAGCAACTACGTCGGAGAAACCGGAAGACAGCTCCGAACGCGAATGGCCGAACACGCTGCAGCAGTGCGGAGAAATGACGCCAGCTCTCAAGTTGCGGCTCATTCGACGGGTTCCGGCCACACATTCAAATTTGACGAGGCCGAAATTCTCGCAAGAGGTGACAACCGCGTGAGCCGGGAGCTGCTTGAGTCATGGTTCACTGGCCCCCGGTCTATTAACAAGTGCAATAATCTTCCCATTCAATACAGCGTGCTGAGACTTCGTCTAGGCGGAGAAATTGGCCACGCGAGGAGCGCCCTGATGAACACTCTTCCCAACACCCGGGTCAGCGCGTCAGATGGTCGAGCAATCATCACACCAACATCCAACGCACGTGATGAAATTGCAGCAATTAACGACGCGAATATCGGTCATCATGCTGCGTGCAACGATCCCTGATGAAGGGGAGGGAGCCGTGAACATTCATAGGTATGCGGTGGCATGGCTACGGCATCCTATAAATACTGCAGCCACATGTGCATGAACCACCCTTATCTGCTTATGTCTCTGATGATGGATTCGAGCAGGAATCCGAAACGTCAGGCTAATAAAGCTCTTGTCCCGGTGATCGTGTCTTCTTCTTCAAGACTGCTTCCTGGGACTCGTCTTGTCGCTTCTATTAGTTTGTGTTCATTAATACGAGTTCCCAGACGTCGTCCTGTATGACCAACATATACGCAGGGACATTTGGCACACGGGATGCGGTAGATGGCGTTATTCTGTTCCTCTTTGGTTATAGAATCCTTTACTCGATTTAAGACTGTGCGCAGGGAGGATTAAGGCTTGTGGGAAACGCGAATACTGAACTGACTTAACTGACGGGCGATCATTTCTAAACTCCCCTGCATATAGGGCAGTGAGAAGAATTTCCGGGTTACGGTTTCTCCATCTGAGCGGGGTAGTCGAGGTTGTGCCTGACGTCTGAGGCAGTTCTTCACGAAACTGTCTGAGTATCCGGTAGATCGAAATAGCCGATCTAGAAAGCCTAGTTCTTTCTGCATTAGATCGTCATTGCTGCAATACCGGTAGGCCCGGTGGAAGAGGGTTCGGACGCAGCTTCTTTTATGAGCCGCAGGGTGATCGCTTCCATAATTGAGGATGATCTCAGAATCAGACCCTTTTCTATGGACGCTGGTTGCGAAGTTACCGTCATCCAGCCTTTGTATTTTCACGTCCAGAAACGACAGACTGTCTCCTACTGCCTCTTCGCGGGTAAATTGTATGGCCGGGAAAACTTCATGCAGCCTCTGATGTAGCCTTTCGACCTCGCGGTACTTTATTACGACAAAGGTGTCGTCTACATAGCGAAGCCACATTTTGGAATTGAGAGTTTGAAAAACCTCATGTTCTAGTCGCTGTAGCACTAGTTCGGCGAGTAGACCGGATATTGGGGAGCCCATTGGACTTCCTTCACCTGTTGATAGTACTTATTGTCGAACTTACAATAGTTCCTAAGGCACAGTTGGAGCAGTTCTATAACGTGGTGCGCTGGGATACCAACAGTGTTGTCCTGTAGCCGTTGGGCTATGCAGTCAATTGTCAAGTCGTGCGGTATAGAAGAAAATAAGGCAACGACGTCAAAAGACAAGAAGCATTCATCAGTGCTTACATTGAGGCCGTCGATCCGGTTGATGAATTCGTGGGAGCTGTTAATGCTGTAGCGAGATCCGTGAGTTAGCGGCTTCAGATGCTTGTACAGCCACTTGGCTAAATTGTAGGTAGGGGATCCGATGAGCGTTACTATAATCCTCAGTGGGGCACCAATTTTGTGAACCTTTGGGAGACCGTACGCGTGTGCGACATGGGAATCACGGAGGGTCATAAACTTTGAGTCATCTGGACCTATGACTTTCAGACGAGCAAGCTCATTAACCTTTTTCTTGATGGCTGCGGTTTGCTTTTTCGTTGGGCCTTCAGTGAGAATGGTGTAAGAATCCGTGTCACTGAAGATTATATTCGCCTTGTTGACGTAGTCAGTTTTGTCCATGATGACGGTAGCGCCACCTTTGTCGGCAGGAACAACAACAATACTGTGGTCCGATTTCAGTGCTCGCAATCCTTGCTCTTCTTCGGCCGGTAGAGTTTGCTGGTGTCTTTTTTGCCGGAAGATACCAGTGGCACAGCTGCGTATGTTAGCGCGCATGTCTTCAGGCAGGACAGAGGTCAGTAAAATGGATTCGAGACCCAGTATGACTCCCTACCCGCATCCCTCCTCACACGCTAATGGTTCGTCCGTCAATGTTTGTCCTGTTTCGTCTATTAGTCTAGTGTGACTGTCTCACTCTCTTTTTTCTCTTCTTTACGTCTGACAACGGGTTGGTGTCACTAATTCGAAAATTCACGAGTACAACTCGATTTTTTCCGAAGAACCTCTTCCTTTTTCATATATATGTATATATATATGCTCAATCAGGAATGGTCACACACCGATCTATTGGCTTCACGAAGCAAACAAGCTCCGTATGTGTGGGAAAGGTCACGAACAGGCAACCAATTACCAGGCCGAAGTCGGCCAAGTCCTAATAGCAGCGAGGAAGGACGACAGAGAATGCGGGTAGATTTATACAGCACTGTTTCGGGCTTATTCTGCCTTCATTCAGTCGATCATAACCCTGACCAGCAGACTGGTACTGACAAAGACAAGGTAAACCGGAATGTCCATTCCGGGCTTATTAGCCGTCATCAGCCAGTCGTACCCAAATCCAAGTGTGGATAACTTGGGATTTGAACCCGAGATCTTTGGTCATCCAGTTTGACAGTCTACCATTATGCCAAGGGCCCGTTGTCCTGTCGGTTGTGATTGGGTGCTCGCCGATCAGTTTGCGGAACATGCTTGCTCCGTTTTGCCTTTGGGCTCATATCAAAACCCTCGCAGGCGGTCGCACAGCGACTAGCTGTAGGTTTTGTATGACTGTCTGATGACTATTCCAGTCTCCCTTGTCTTTGTCGGTACTACCTAATTTGCATCTACTACTAGTCGCTATGGGATTGCCTGCTATGGTTCTAATATGAACCCCAAGGCACAACAGAACGAGCATGTTCTGTAACCTGATCTGTGAGCAACCATCAGTCATATATATATATATATATATATGTTCTACGGACTACCCAAAGTGCACAAGGTCGATGTCCCCCTCCGACCAATCGTGTCACTTCGCGGCGCGCCAACATTCAATCTGGCGAAATGGCTGTTCCGACACCTGAGGCCTCTCACCTCAGGCGCAACCACAACGGTC